ACATCAGAGACAGACTGCTGTGATCCCTTCTATTTGGTTCTTAATAGCAGACAGATCAATGGAAAGGAGAAGGAGCTGCATCACAGATCAGTTTGTGTATATTTTAATGTCCTCAATGGACAGCAGCCAAAGAAAAATATACTGCACATAACTAATCCTCTCATGCTCAGTTCTAAACTATGAAAAAAGAACAAAATACAACGTACCTAGGGATCTTTACTGAATTCTATAAACAAGCTAAGTAAGAACTCAATGTGCTTTCAAGCTAGCTCTGAAGATTACAAGCTCTACTGGCAAAAAGTTTTCCCCCCTTCCAAGACTTTTTTGGGTTCACCTCCCAGTTTAGAACAAGTTGTTTGTATCAGGAAATCAAATGTTCAGGACCATCCAAATATAAGCACTCTGCAACCATTCAGTCAGTTACAACAGCTTTTCTGATATCATGAAACATGTGATGTTTACAAATCATTTATAATCTGGCCTTGTCAATATACTCTCATTTCCACAGCCATACTTTCATGAATCATCACTTTCTAGTTTTATTATTTTATTGCCAGAATAAAATGCAACTAAGGGAATATCAGGTCCATAGCAAATGCGACATGCCATATGAATTAAGATGTACACACCAATAAGAGTATCACTGTTCCAGACTCCTGCTTAAAAGTTCACAGAAAGTAGGCATTTGCCAAAAATTCAATTGTTTTTTTCTTTAAAAAAGGGAAACCTAGATTTTTCTTTCAAGTACAGTGCATAAAGATTTAGGAAGTCAGAAGACTCAATTAAGATGTGCCAAGTGAAACCCTGAATTTATTAATTCCTTCTTGATTCTCATAATTTAAAACTGCTAAATCTTTGAAGACAAGGGTAGAAATCCATCTATTCTTTCAACTCCCAAACAAGAAAACAGGTTCACCTACTTTTGCATTAAGATAGAGAGATAATTAAAAAAGATAAACACATTAATAATATATTGTCTGATCACCCTCTAAAACATGAAAACTTTCTTTATACAAAAGATTTCAACTAAAGCGGAATACCTATTGAAACTGTCTAGACCTACACAAATGTTAAAACACATATCATCTTAACTGAAAAGGCCCAACTCTTGAAAGGGACAGAAGATAACCTTTATCCACAAACAAGATGAAGAAGTGTTATTTATCTGACTCACCAAATACAGTACTGAATATTACTAGCCACAGATGACAATTCATGATTGTCATTATTTAGAGTCGCCAAGGAAATATTGTGTATGTAGTTATTAGAGCTTAGTTTATTCATTAACACACTTTAACCTTTCTGTTGTGTACAAAAGGTGGTTAAAGCATGTTATATAAGGGTGGATGTTTCCATCTGCACTGGCATGTGACAATTCTAAGCTGTGAATGATTCTGAGGAGTAAAATACAAGGCATCAATTATTTCATACAACATACAGAACATCTACAATGTGTCCCGGTGAATATTTTACTTAGGAAGTAAGGAGAAAGAATTTGGAAGAAAAATGCATATGAAATGAGAACTGTGCATGCTGGGCACAAAATTCAAGGGAACACACTTTTTCTCAGCTAATCAAACCCAGAGCAGTGCAGCCACTTATCTACATCAGAGTCATCACCCCATCCACTCAGAAGTTGCCATTCTCATGAAAGACACAAAAATAGGAGCTCAAAATTTTCTGACACCTGTTCTTCTCAATGACAAGCTTCATTTATTTATGTATAGATACATGCACGCAATTTAGGCATCACCTTCCCGCTGTTTTTTTTTTTTTTTAAATCACTGTTTTGTAAATCCTTCGCACTCTGGTCAAGGAAATTTCAATTCTGTCCAACCGACACGAATATGCTATTCGTGCACGCGCATACATTCAAGCTTATAGTTTTCAGGCTATGTCCCCAGAACTTTTGGAGGAAATGGCTAAATTGGGGGGCGGGCGGGCAAGGGTCTCCCTACCTTTCCAACCACCCAATCTTAAGGTATCACAAGAGGCTACTACTGTCCTGAGGACCGAAAAGCCGACGACCTCATCCCTTCTTTGCCTAGCACAATGTGAAGGAGCCGGACGAAGCGCCGCGAGTCTGGTGGGGGAGGCGTGGAGTTGGAGGGGGGGGGGGGCTTGCAGGGAAGCAGCGAAAGGAAAGCCGGATTGTTACCTGAGGGAGCGAGGGAGGAGGGCCCAGCAAGGACTCTTGAGGCGGGAAGAGGGAAGACAGCGAACAAACGGAGTGGGGGGAAAAGATACTGAGGGGGGCATGGAGAGGGGGAGGGTCTCCCACAGGGTTCTCTAAAATGGCGGCAGCTTCCTTTCCCACAGGGCTCTCCCTTCTCTCTTTCTCCCTCCTAGACACAGTCCTTCTCCCCCTTCCCTTCCCCTCACCCTCAAGGTCCACCGCGCTCACCGGGCTCGAACCCCCTCCTTCCTACCCTTCCTTCGCTGGCGGAGGGAATGGAGAAGGCTCGCTCACTCGCCACTCTCTCTCTCTCTTTTTTTTTTTTGCCTTGCCTTGCCTTCACCGCCACGATCCCACAAGCCACCGCGCGTGCCTCCAGCGGCCGACTTGCTATTTCCTCCTCCGGCTAAACCCCACCCCTTATACCCGGGTTGGCTTTCCTTCCGCTTGGCCCTTTTTTGCTACTGCTGCTGCTGTTCCTCCTCTTCCGCGCGCTCTTCCTTCTCACTGGTTCCTCCCTGCCCCGCAAGCTCGTACTCGCTTCCTCGGCCCCTCCCATTCGGCCGCGAGGGAGGGAAGGAGAAACGCGAGCGGCGCAGGCGCCGTCCTCCCCGTCTACAGTGCGCGTGCGCGGAGGTGAGACACTGCTATTTTCATCTGCGCGTTTCATTGTAGACCTGTTGGATTTGGTTGGAATTCAACTCGCAAGATTGCCCAGGGTGGCACCTTTGCGTCCACTAGCTTTATTCTTATTGCTGTTTCTTTGAAGCAAGTTTTACTGGAGGGTCACTGAAATACTTTATATGCACTATTAAAATACAAATACCGCCTGTCGGGCTTTCTTCATGCGCTCTGTAGCCGCCGTTTCAGCATCAACCGCGCGGGCTGTTGTATCACTGCCATTTCATGATCTTTTGCCCCCTGCCCATTCTCACGCCCGTAGCACGTTTTATCAGGCCATTCATTTGGTGGAATATTCCAGTCCATTTATCCTATAATAAACCTGTCTTTAAATTTTTGACTCTGCTATCCAAGCACCAGTATTTTTCTTACATAGCCCAGAGCTACCACAGTAACTCATCTGATTTTCATGAATAGACTTAAACCAGGTTCCTGGAGCATTTAAAAAAAACAACAACAACCCTAAAACGACCATGTATTGCAAATTATTTTCCTCCCAGTTGAAAGGCCATATGTTCAAGACGTGGCAGGTGACATTTCTTAAACATTTACTACACAAGCCTAACAGTTGTGTCATGAATCTAGGTCGTTCTGTGGTTGTTGGTCCAGGCATAACACTGCATCCAGGATACCGAGCCAGTGGTGGTTTCAGGAGTCTGAGGGGCCCCATTGTAAAAGAGAAGTTGGTTAGTGCTGTGCAGATCACCTGGGATACTAGCACCCAACCATAACTGTATGATGTCTGCCTACAATGCTGTAACAATCACAAAGCAGGCAGCTGGGAGTTGGTGGACTGAGCACAGGAAGCCTCCCCAAAAATAGTACCTTTGTCAGTTAAGGTGGGTGATCTGGAATGAGGCATGAAAAATGGCTATTGATTTAGAGACCTGTAACTATATAGCAAATTATTATTTTGTACTAAGCCATGAATCATGGTTTAAGAATAACTGGGTTTATTCAACTTGCTAAGCCAAGACCAAACAAGCCATATATACAAACATGGTTGTAACTTGACTTTGAACATAAGTTCCACTTAAGCTGCTACTGTTAAAATTGTTTTCATATTTTGTGCTCCAAATATTCCAGTAAGTATAAAATAAGTGACTACTTTTAAGAAAGAGGGTTCTGTAAATAGAACCGATGTTAATAATTTTAATTCTCCTTTTCTAAAATATGTAAGTTGTAATGGCAGAGCACTTCTTGACAATGCAGCTAAGTTTACAGATATGTATATTTTTATACACAGATGTACAAAAGTAATTCCATAGTGTATATATAACATCATTTTGAAGTTCAACATTTTCACCCTTACAAATAGAACTACTTTAGAGCTAAATGCATTCAGAATTGGGGCATAAATCAATTCACATACTGTATATCTGAAGCAGCTTAGTTTCAAGCTTACACCAAAGTTCAGGTGCCATCTCAGCCATGGATTTGGTTAAAGGCCTGAGGTAACACTTTAAATTACTAAACATTTTTAAGCAGCTATACCCTTAGGTATTAGGTGAAATGTACATTTTTCTTTTTCCATTTAAATTTTATTTAGCTGATTGTAATGCAATATGAAATTCCTAGTAACGTAATTATTATAGCAGTAAGGTGATACATGTGGTGAATGGTTTCTATTCAGGAGCCTGGATCCAAAACACCATAATCACACATCTAAGAAAAATGTGTGTTACTACAAGACCACCCCCAGCATAGTAATCTTATTTTGGAAATAAGCCATCTTGCCAAGGGTTATTGTTCTGCTTTATGCCCACTTTTTAGTTCTTGGCCATTCTGTCTCTGCTTTTCATAGTTTCATATATTCCTAAATCTGGTTAGTATCAAGTTTATGGATGGGTGACTTTTTGGAAGGTGAGTCCCTCCCCTGCTCCCGCTTAATATACAGGACAGTGGGAACAAATCCCATTGCTCTATTTCCCAATATAATCCACCAGTCTTGTCTCTGGGATAGCAGCTGGCAGTAGCTGATGCAAAGGAGACCAGTTTGAGCTAAGGGGTTTCCAGTTTGCTGCCCCTTCTCTTGCAGGATCTAGCATCTTCCTCTGTGTTTATATTTATGTTGAAAGGTGAGAGAGACGTGCTCAACGTTTTAGAAGCCTCTGCTGATAGGAAAAACAAAAACATGCCAGACTTATCACCCAAAAGAGAAACTTGTTAAAAAAAATAAACTAAGTTGAGAACACAGCAGTAGCAAGGCATGGTGATAAAGATACAAGGTGCTTGAATACATCGGATGAGATAAGCCAATGAAGAAAAACAAAGCTCTACAATCACCATTTCTAACCAGGACAGCCAGTTACAAGGGTGAAAAAAGGCAGGGTTCTAAGACTCACAAAGAAAATAGAATTTCATTGCACCTCTGTAGACAGTAATCCATTCTTCACAACTGAAGCAACAGTCTTTCTGCCTTTCAATCTGGCCAATCTGTCATACCTTTTCCAGTTTCCCTTATTTGAAACCCTTTTTAAAGTAAATTGCAACACAGACCCTGCATTCCTACACAGGTACAAAGAGCCCATTCCGCTGAACAAATGTACTGGATTACATATTTGGAGAAGAAATTTGTGGATTCCCTAATTCCCATCCCCTAGAGGTTAGCAATTGTTTTTAAGCGGTGTCCTGAACCAAAATCAATTAAAATGTGACTCTCACCAGACTGCCCAAAGTTGTGCACAAGAATGCAGCAATCTTGTGAATCTGGGGGGATTGCCAGATGTTTCAGCTGCTTTTAAATTTTTATTTTAAAAATTTTCCACAGATGCCATCTGAGAGGTGTTTGAAAGCACCTCGGCACTCAAGAGTAGTGTACTAATGGTCCTGCCTTTCAGTTACAGCTTGAAAAGAGTTTTCCCCAACATTTTGTTCTCCACACATGCTGGACTTCAATTCTTATAATCTGCATCAACTCTGCAGCATAAACCCTGTTCTTGATAGTTTAGGGATTATGGGAATTAAAGTTCAAACATCTGGAGGGTACATGCTTGGGAATACTATCCTAGAGAAATAACTGCAAACTGGCTTCTCCTCCCAGGCCAAGACATTAAAAGGTACTCAAGCTTGCCCCTCCCCTCTAAGACCTGCAATTCTGAAAACAAGCAATGTGAGTGATGGGAAGTAGGATGCATTTCCCAGTTAAACTTGGAGATTTAAAGAACCATTGAAAACTATGGTTCTTAGGCTAGTTGAAGTTAAACTGTGATGGGCAAAGCTACAAGTAATGAGGGTAGACAAATGCATTTTGCAGGATGATGAAAAGGAAGTTATGCAGCAACAGCTTATGAAAGTCTTCCTGCTGATCATTCAGCTAACACACAGATATCTCAGTTTCAAAAAGATCTTCTGTTATTCCAGTTTACCGCTGGTTCAGCAGATGTAGGATAACAGCTCCAAATGTGTGTGACAACTTCAACCAGGTCAAGAGGGAGTTTAAGAAGCCAAGCTACCGGTCCATATTGTTTTCATCAGGTTGACTGTGGAAGCAAAGACGCAGCAATGTCTCACAGAAATCCAGTTCCTCCTTATTTTTTTAAATTAAAAAAAGGAAAAGGAAAAGAAAAAGAAAAAGAAAAAAGAATAGGTGATCAGTTAAAGTGTTGGATTTCTACAACTTTATACAACTATCAATAAATGTCCAAACTAATGAGAACTTTCAATGGAGACAGCAATCAGAAATATTTGCCTTGCTAACAAATCTTTAGTCTCAGTACTCTTGCTTTTTTTCCATTCTGCCCAACCAATGACTTCTGCATTAATTCCTGTAATCTCTATTGTTAGTCCACTATAGCCAATGATTCAATCCTCTGATGGGACTATATAATTTCAGACTGCATGCGGGGGGGGGGGGGGGG